AGCAGGAATCCACCTCATTACACAGTGAAGTTGCCTCTAACGTACACATGCTTAAGTCTGACTTAAAACTTATAGGCATACATACATATATGTGTACATATATACATATTTATAACAAGGAAAATATGGAAGTAGTAAAAGACCAAGTGACTTGTCCAAGTTCACAGGCAGAATACAACTACAGAATCTTGTATGTTAGGTGTCAAGTTTTATGTCTGCACATGACCTAAAAAGCTATTATTCTACCATGACAGCACATGAAGAACATGAAGATATTCAAGTTTCACATCCTTACTTATTGATGTTCTTGCTTGCTACTCACCAGCTGAGGGACCTAAACCATGGTAAATCATACGAGTGGTAGACTCTGTAACCTATAGTAATGATTTCATGATAACACTTCACTTGGATGCTTAAGACCTAAAATAAGAGAAATAAAAAATTATGTAAATATGCCACAGTTTTTTCTTAAAGGCAGTAAGTAGCACTGCAACCTGCATTAAGGGAGGAAATCTTTCTGAATTCAAATTGCTCTCAGAAGACAGACAACTTCAAAGTCAGTCCAAGAAAAACTAAAGCTCCATTGAACTGCGTCCGGCCCCGCCTAAAGAAAACGAACCAAGCAAACAACAAACAAACAAAACAACCCCCAAAACCATGAGGCATGCTGAGAAAAACCCTATTGAGCTAGCTGCAAGAATATGCTCATGAAACAAGGGAAAGCTCCAGACTTTTCTTCACTTAAACAGTTTGGCAGCAGCAGATCAAAAGTACTTCCTGTAAAGAAGGCTCTATTTCTTTAGGGTAAGTTTAATCTTTAAATTTAGTTTAAGAAATATTTTCTAGGCCCAACAGAATATAAATAGCTGTGCAACACAACTTGGACACCTAGGTCCTTCCACATGCAAGTGTCTCATTAAGGACAATTATCATCAATGATTAGAAGGAAAGCTTATAACCCAGGTCTGAATGTCACACCTTCATGGCCTTCATTTTGTTGGGCTGATCTCACACTTCAGTGTTTGCCTGTGCAAATCTGGTAGTACATCCTGTCAGTATTTGGACACCAAAGGACTTTACCAGTTTTGTCTAATCCACAGTCACCAAGCAGATGGCCCTGTCCAGACATCAAGAGTTGCCAGACACTGGTCATCAGTAACACCACACAGAGGCAGGAATAAGAACCTCCTCACGCCGACTGCACGTGTCGCCATGCAAGGCTTTGCAGTGTTCTCTTACTGCCTGCATTCATGAATAAATCTCATCTTGCTCAACCAGTGAAAACAGTATAAAACAGTCTTACACCACCTCAGAGAGTTAAATTTGAAGCTCTCCTATCTCATGTTCTTTCTTCTGCTTGGTCTACGTTATAAAACTTAAATGCTCTATGCAAGAGCAACGTTAAAGGATTGCACCTTGCAGCAGACAAGGACACTGAGGGCCAAAGGCATGGAAGCTGTTGCCTTAGTAGCAGGCAAATGGAAAACACACATCCCAACTTTTCAGAGCAGTCTCAGGGCTTGCCCTCTAAACTTCACTGGATTACCCTTCCTACAAGTCTCTGGGCATTTTTAGTCTCAGTATTAAGATTTGGTTTGAGCACATAAGTTCTTGTTTAAATATAAGCTACTTGATTTCAGTGAAATTAAATAATTCCTGAACAAAACTGCTCTTTCCTTCTATTCTTTTTCATGTAGTCTCAAACATCAACTTCATGGACATGTATTATATTAGAAAACAGAAACAGGAAGCATAAACCAGACTAATTCTGATGTAGAGACTGCAATACAGATCATGATACTGGTGAAACAGCATTCCAGTTTCTCAAGACAATACAGGTTTTAAAAAGGGAGTTTAGGACCTTTGGAAACAGGGGCAGACAATTCAGGAGGACCATAAGGATGTAATGAGGTTAAGGAGGGAGAAAATCAGAAGTGCCAAAGCCCAACTAGTACTTAATCTGGCTACTGATGCAAAAGACAATAAAAATGTTTCTATAACATTCACTACAAAAGGAGGGCTAAGGAGAATCCCCATCCTTTACTGAATGCAGGGGGGGGAAACCTAGTGATAAAGGATGAGGAAAAGGCTGAGGTACTCAATGCCTTCTTTGCCTCAGTCTTCAGTAGTAGGACCAGTTGCTCTCTGGGTATCCAGCCCCTTGAGCTGGAAGACTGGGAGCCCCCATAATGCAAAGGGAAATGGTTAGTGACCTGCTACACCATGCAGACACACACAAGTCTATGGGGCCATATGGTATCCACCAGTACTCTCATGGGTACTGAGTGGGCAGATGGAAGTGCTCAGCAAGGCACTTTCTATTATTTACCAGCAGTTCTGGCTAACCAGAGAGGTCCCAGTTGACTGGAAGTGAACAAATGTGACCATTTACAAGATGGGCCAGAATGAGGACCCAGCCTGTCAGTCTGACCTCAGTGCCAGGGAAGGTTATGGAGCAGATCACTGTGAGTGCCAACACCCAGAATGTACCAGACAACTAGGTTATCAGGCTGAGTCAGCATGAGTTTATGAAAGCCAGGTCCTGCTTGACAAACCTGATCTCCTTCTATGACAAGGCGACCTGCTTAGCAGATGAGCAAAACACTGTGGATGTTGTCTACATAGACTCTAGTGAAGCCTTTGACACTGTTTCCCACAGCATTCTCCTGGAGAAACTGGCTTCTCATGACCTGGACAGGTATGCTTTGCTGAGTGAAAACTCAGCTAGCTGACAGGGCCCAAAGAGTTGAGGTGATTGGAGCTAAAACCAGTTGGGGGCCAGACACAAGTGGTGTTCCCCAGGGCTCAGTGCTGGGGCCAGTTCTCCTTAATAACTTTTTCCATTATCTGGATGAGGAGACTGAGTGCACCCTCAGTAACTTTGCAGATGACACAAAGATGAGCAGGAGCATTGATCTGCCTGAGGGTAGAAAAGCTCCACAGAAGGGATCTGGACAGGCTGGATCAATAGGCCAAGGTCAAGTGTATGAGATTTAACAAGGCCAAGTGCCAGGACCTGCACTTAGGTCACAACAACCCTAGGCAATGCTACAGGCTTGGGGAAGAGTGGCTGGAAAGTTCTCCAGAGGAGAAGGACCTGGGAGTGTGGGTCAACAGGCAGCTGAATATGAGCCAGCAGTGTGTCCAGGTGGCCAACAGCATCCTGGTTTGTATCAGAAATAGCGTGGCCAGCAGAATTAGGGAGGCGATTGTCCCCCTCTATTCACTACAAGAAGGACATTGAGGTGCTGGAATGAGTCCAGAGAAGAGCAAAAAGCTGGTGAAGGGTCAAGAGAACCAGTTTGATTTGGAGCTGCTGAGGGAACAGGGGTCATTTAACCTGGAGAAAAAGAGGCTGAGAGAAGACCTTATCATTCTCTACAGCTACCTGAAAGGAGGTTGGAGCAGGGTTGGGGTGCATGGTTTAGTAGAGGACTTGGCAGTTTTAGGTTTATGGTTGGAGTCAAAGGTTTGTTTCAACCTAAATGATTTTATGAATACAATCCAAAAGGTGTTTTACAGGAGGATATGAAACAAGTAAAAGCACATTTTAACAGCTAAACAAGCTTAGAGTAAAAAAAAACAAAGCAGTTACCCAGAAGTGCCTGCTTCAGAAACCATATCCCTGCCTGTTACTTGCCATAACTGGGAAAGCTAGTTAAAGCATTATTCAATAAAAATAGCAGCAATAAAAATTACAGAAGGAAGCAGTAAAGGCTGACTGGGTGTGTAGGGTGTATTACTCTTATTTCAGGTTATGACCTAAAAACGCACTTTATCTTTGTACCTTGGAAAGGAATCTCGTTCTATTCTACAGATAAACCCAAGGCTGCAAAGCAGGCCTGTAGAGAAGTAGGAAATTAATGGAGCATGCCTGAAGAAAGCTTTTTCAGTGCCAGTCACAGACAGCAGACCACAGCTGAGTGCTTCACTCAGCCTCAAAATTAAAACTCTTGTTTCTTCAGGTTTTTTGAGGTTTTGAGATTTTTTTGGGGGTCATTTAATCTCAAAGAATGTAACTGTAGGTCATGAGAACTGGAAAAGGAAATCGATGACAGTAGTTTAGTAAACTTCAAGGCAACAGTCTTTCAATGTGTTACTTTAATCCCTGTTTTAAAAACATATTTATTTCAGTATATAAAACGCTCATAATCCACAAGTTGGGAATCTGTCGTGTTTTTCAAAAGTATTTACATTTACACAAATGAAAGACAAATTGGTCTGAATTGCCCATGTGGTTTGCTTCCAGCTGTCTTAACCACAATGAATGAAGAAATAAAGTAACTCTTGCATGACAGAATTTATTTAAACAAACTTACCAGAAGCATCAGCATAAATGATCCCAGGTATATGATGAGAAAAAAACCAGAAATCATAGCTAGGGAGAGAATTCCACGAATCCACCAGTTTTTCCATCTATTAAAAAGAGAAAGTCAAGAGCAAGCAGTTATAAATTAAAATAAATGCCACTGCCTTTACTCACTGGGGGTTGAAGTGTATTAGAAACAGTAGGAGTTTCAGAATTTTTTTTCCGCTTAATAAAACACATGGCAAGAAACACAGAATCAACCAACTAACCAGGACACACAGTAAAAACCTTTCTTCTTCCCCCATGCCCTTCCCCACACCCAAATGCAATTTGCAATTAAATGGATCAACCCCATATTGAAGCTGCTGTGAAAATATGTAAGGACTCTCAAAAAGCATCACATAATCAGCAAAATTTCTGGAGGCTCAGCCATATAGAGGTTCACATAAGAAAGAAAGGCTGCCACGTAAAAAGCATACAAATATTTGTGGATTAACAGACTGACAAGTCCACCATTAAACCCTAAGCACCACATCTACATGTCTTTTAAAAACCTCCAGGGATGGTGACTCAACCACTTCCATGGGCAGCCTGTTCCAATACTAGATAATGCTTTCAGTGAAGAAATGTTTCCTAATATCCAATGTAAACCTTACCTGGCCAGGTCCTCTCATCCCATCATTTGTTACTTGGGAGAGTGACAAACCCCCACCTCACTGCAACCTCCCTTCAAGTAGTTGTAGAGGGCAATAAGGTCTCCTCTCAGCCTCCTTTTCTCCAGGCTAAACAACCCTGGTTCCCTCAGCTGCTCTTCGTAAGTCTTGTGCTCCACACCCTTCACCAGCTCTGTTGCCCTTCTCTGGACACCCCCCAGCACCTCAACATGCTCATTGTTGTGAGTGGCTCAAAGCTGAACAAAGGACTCAAGGTGCAGAATGCCTTCTCTGAAAAAATAAGTGTTTAAGAAAAACCCCAAAGCCAAACAACTTGGAAGTCTTTATTGGTTTATGTGGATTTTAATTTTTTTTGGTAATTTTTAGAGTAACCAAAATGTTATTTTTCACCCCCCAACCACCTGCACCCAAAGGCCAGTACCAGGAAGAATCAAGAGTCCAGTTCATTAAAAAAACCCAAAACTTAAAAACTCATAACAGGCTCCACTCTGCCATGAAAACGTTTCTAGTTTTCAGTAGCTTATATTTTATTGTTCATATTACTTTCCAGTAAGTTTTCTCCTCTTTTTCCTGTGCTTTTCCCTTCAAGAATTTTGCCTTTAAAAGTGCACTGAAGAAGATAATCACAAGTTCCCGCTAAACACAAAAAAGCCCTACTGTAGCTTAGAGAAATTATTTCTAATGCTTTGCTTTGTACCAGTCCTGTGCTGCATCAGGAGATATACCCGATTCAGGGTACACTGCTAGTTTTGCATCATACTCCAGTTTTAATGTAAACTTCATCAATCTTAATTTGGCTTTCAAGGATGTTATTCAGTAGCACGTTAACAGCAGCTAAAGCCACTAATTAGATTTGTCTTAAGTATGAGAATAACAGCACAATAAGCTTTATCACAACAGGTGCTTTATGTTCCTCTATGAGATGGGCTACAGAGTAGCAGCTTGCTCCTAGGAGCACATCTATAGGGAGCAAGACTACTTTAGAAAAATTCAACAGCCCTTAAGAATAATGTTAAAACACAGCATAATATCTTTAGGGTGTTGACAAGCACAGCACTGGAAAGACAGCTTCGGTAAATAAGACAAGGAGCTCTAAAATCAAGGAAGTCACTTGACAAGTTTATTGTATCCTAACTCTTCACTGGAAAGGTACAGACACTATTTCCTCTAAAGGCCAAATACCAAGACAATATTTCTGAGAGTTAAGGTGCAACTCACTCAAGTTGTATGTTATAACAGGTCTGGTGGGACTGTCAGTGATTTTGACTCTAGCATTCATAAAACACCAAGAATTTAAGTTTGCACTCAAAGCACCTTTGTGCAAACACTCCAATAAAGAATTTCAAGCATGTGAAATGGGAAAGGGTTCACCTGCACCCTCTTAGTTGCAGTCTTTGAGGCATCACCATGCAAGTGCCCCCTGGAGCAAATCTTATTTGCAGACTTAAGGCTTCCACAACATTTAACATGGTAAGAGAACCCTGAAAGTGATAGGAACTAAATACTCCTTGCAGTGTGATGACACCAGAGAACATCACATTCTGCTCACAGCTGGTGCACTTTAGAAACATGCTTTTTGAAACCTGGGAACGATACATATGTTCTTGGCTCCCAAACATCAACAGAAACAGACAACAGTTTGGAAAATGGAACAAGTGAAAAACTTATAGTTTCACACTGTTACCAGAGCTATCTAGTGGATATTAGTTTGTTAATTTTTTAGATCAGTCTTTTTTTTCAAGGACTTGGAAGTTTTTAATCATAGTCTGGATTGGAAATCCTTCTTCTAACTCTTGCAAGATCTAAGTTGTATCTAAAATACACATTGTACATTGTTTGGTTTGTTATGTTGAGCATGAGGTATCTATGATACACATAGAGGGCTTAGAGACAGAAACATAGGTTTGAAAAGAGATGGCAGGGAAAAATTAAGCACTGCCTTAAATTGTACAAAAATAAAAACTACGTTGTAATTAACTGTAAATAAAAGTTATTTAGAAGTGGAAATGCTGTGACCAAGAGCTAGTGAAGCTCACCCAGAGAATTCACACTTTCCCCCCTTCATTTATACACAAACACTGCCCTCCCTTTACCTTGGATATAGGAAAACAGTTGGTCATAAGCCCCAGAAATAGTTTTTTCTGGATATCAAACCCAAATACTATTCTTTAAACCATTTTCTTGCAATGTTTAGACTAAAGCAATGGCAAATATTTATGTAAGCTGCAACTAAATCTTGCAGCAGTTTACTTAAAAATGCATGCAATGGGCAATCTTCAGGTATATGCAAAAATGTTGCACTGAAGGGACTATCAAATCATAAATAAACCAATGATATCCAGTAAAAAATGATCCCTGAATTTTCATGTGTATCATATGAAATTTAAAACTGCAGTACAACCTGTAAGAATTAAACTCCAACATAAACTGTAAGAATTTTAGCCAGCAGCTATTAGATTTGAGAGTAGATTGTTTTACTATACCTAGCAGACAAGCCTGATAAAGCCTTTTTGAGAATTTCTGGAGTGCTGTCTGTTGGTGGAGGAACATCAGGAACATCTGAATCACTCCTAAGATCCAACTCGACAAGTCTGTCCTCCAAATCCACTTCCTATGACAAAAAAACACAACAACACACAAGATTCTTCATTATTATGTCGAAACAGTATTCAGAGTCATAAACATTACTTTAGGAACTGATAATTTCTACACTACCTTCTAAAAAGACACTGAGTACTAGCAAAAGTATAGATCTTTTACGAGACAAATGTATCCAAATAAATATTGATAAGGCCAGTACTCAGACATTGTTACATTACCTGCTGTGCTCAAGAAACTTCACATTCCAGGCACTATTTGAACCCACATACATAAGCATGAGGATACATATTTCCAGAAATACTACAGCTGGCATAGAACAAGAGTTTATCAGAAATCCTCAACCCTCTAATGGATTCCCTCACCTACACCTCAAACTAACCTTTTATGGAATAAGGAGAAGGGTCTTCTGGTCGTTTAATGTCACATTAAGGAAAAAAAAAAAAAAAAAAAAGAAATAGAATACATGAAAAAACAGTCCCTTTGTACAATGAAAAGAGTTGCTGGCACAGTCTCATTCATATATACATACACTAGGACTTGAATCCTCCAGCCTGAGCAGAATTATCCAAAAACAAACTATGCAGTGGCCAAGTGTCCTATGGATACAGTATCACTCAGAATAATTTCTTGTATCACCCTGACACCGCAATTGTTTCTTCAGTATTCACTAATGACTACTCAGGATTACACCATCTAGATGGATTGCGTGCCTAAGCCAAAACTGCAAAATAGGCAAAGACTGCAAAATAGACAGTCCATATTTTTGTGACAATGCACAAATTGTCACCACAGCCAGAGTAGGTTGTCGAGACTATTTTCCCCTTAGTTAAAGCCAACACTAGGGGTGCTGATGATTACTTATTCTTATGTTACAAACACCACAGCTCCAGGGAGCCAGAAGGCTGCACTCGACTCTGGCACAGGCTGAACTTCCTCCTGCCATCCACGATGTGCCTCACCTCCTTACAATCTCAAACAGCTTCCAGCCTGCTCTGCTGCCTCAGGTTCACCAATTCTTAACAGCTCTGGGGACTGTGAAGTAAACTGTGTCGAAAACTTTTTTCACCAGCACTATACTGACTATACTGTTATTTCTCAGCCTGCCTTCCTTCCTTCCTTCCTTCCTTCCTTCCTTCCTTCCTTCCTTCCTTCCTTCCTTCCTTCCTTCCTTCCTTCCTTCCTTCCTTCCTTCCTTCCTTCCTTCCTTCCTTCCTTCCATTTTCAGTTCTTTCTCTTTTAAGAATGAATTTCCCATGAATATGACGGCTTTTCTTTCCTACTTCTCCTTCATAGTATTATTTTGTCCCCTTGTTGTGAGTATTTTCAGCCTTTTGGAAGACAGCAAAGGCCCATCCTCCCTCTTGCCCCCTCCATAAGACACCACAGAATTCAGGTGACCTACAATCCCAGCCATCACATGGTTACCCTGTTCACAGGCTACCGCCTTTTCCTCTCATTCCCTCGGCCTTTTCCAGGAACTCACACTTTAGTGCACCCGTTTCCTTAGTGACTGACCCCTGCGAACAAGGGAGGCGGGAGAGAGGAGGGCGCCCCTCGCCCCTCGGCCCCGGGCGGCCGGAGCTGGCCAGGGTGCTGCAGCCAGGCCCGCGCCACCGCCGGGGACACTGCCCGGGGCAAGAAAGCACCAAACCGCTCCGTTTTAGGCTGCTTTTGTCTTTGTGGAACCGTGAGCTGGCACTATGCACGTGCACAAGAGGAAGAGGTAACGACAGGAAGAGTCATTAGCTTTTTTTAAGATGTTAGAACCATGGAATGGTCTGGGTTGGAAGGGACCTTAAAGATCATCTTGTTCCAACCCCCTGCATGGGCAGGGACACCTCCCACTAGACCAGGTTGCTCCAAGCCCCATCCAACCTGCCCTTGAACACTTCCAGGGAGAGGGCATCCACAGCTTCTCTGGGCAACCCCTTCCAGTGTCTCACCACCTTCAAAGTGAATAATTTCTTCCTAATGTCTAATCTATACCTACTGTCTTCCAGTTTTGATCCATTCCCCCTTGTCGTCTCATTACAAGCCCCTGCAAAAAGTCCCTCTCCAGCCTCCTTGTAGGCCCTGGTCAGATCCTGGAAGGCTGTATAAGGTCTCCCCAGAGCCTTCTCTTCTCCAGGCTGAACAACCCCAACTCTCTCAGTCTGTCTTCATAGGAGAGGTGCTCCAGCCCTCTGATCATCTTTGTGTCCTTCCTCCGAACTCACTCTAACAGCTCCATGTTCTCCCCATTTTAGGGGCCCCAGAACTGAACACAGAACTCCAGGTGGAGTCTCATGAGTATGGAGTAGAGGGGGAGAATCACCTCCCTTGACCTGCTGGTCATTGTGTTTGTCTCATTCACTTTGTGTACCCCACACATAACCAAGATAAAACTCTTAAACTGGTTTTACGTAATTAACTTCCTTGAAAAACATAACCTGTGCTTTTCCTCTCCCTTGAAATGCCACAGATGAAGAAATATTAGACAGACATTGTCTATAAGTAATGCAAGTAAAAAGAGCAAATACTCGGACTGTGGTCCAGACTTCAGAAAGTTTGTATAACACCTGAAAAATCATATAGATAAATGAATCACTGTGCTTGCAATCTTGTTGTTCAGAGATATTTCTCATAGTGTTGTGCCATAGCTCAGGAAATCAACTACAGCTGTGACTGGGGGAGATTGCAGGTCTCTCCCAAAGCCATGTTCCAAGCACTGTGACCTGCACTGGAGTGCAACAAGGTGTCTCTACAGTTCTAGAAGACACTACTCACTGTGCAGATGATGGACAGTAATCCTGGCTCTAAGACCACAACTTAGCATCTTTAATATTAATCCCTACTTGCACATGGCACAGATGTTCTCTCTTTTAAGCACTCACATTAAGAATACCCTCTTAACTTTTTTTTTGTTCCAATTTTGGGCTTTTGGTTTTGCATAATTTTTTTCCATATTCAACAAATGTTTAAGCATTTAAAAAATAATAATTTAAAAATTACTTATTTTATATGTCTGATATTTAACACACAACTGTCACTTACCTACCTCATTGTAAGCCATGTTTTAGATTAGCTATTTCCAATATCTGAATTCACAAGTGCATGGCATTTTTTCAGAGTATATGGACACCTTGAAGGAGCAGTCTGTTTATCAGACATGTTTTTCGGTAGCTCATCCTTCATACTGCCACTACGGGGAGCTTGGCTGATGTAGTGGGCAAGTTGCACAACAATTATTGGATCTGGCTACATTTTAGCTTTACATTTCTATAATAACTAGTTTGAGACAAATTCTTCTACTTCCTTTTGTAACACACCTCAAAAATGACCTTGAATACTTCATTTTCCAGTTAATTGCTATAATGGCTACAGCTATTTCCTGAGTGAGACATTTAATTTGAAAAGTCAGAAGCCTAAGAGGAAGCTGCTCACTAAAAGCTAGTTAATTGTCCTCTGCATCATAAAGTGCTTAGAGAACCCCATCACTGACAGACAAGTCTTTCTTGCTACTTGTTTTCTTAATTATTATACATGACTGATTATAAACATTCCCGTTCGTAGCCACGAATAACAACCACCATTATGGAAGGAAACATTAAGTTAATCACTATCAAAGCCCTCAAAAATAAATAAATTAATTGATCAATCAAGAGTCTTGCTACTTCAGCTTGACCTTGTATAAGCAGTTTTGGAGTTCAGCATAAAGTCAAGCAGCCCTTCCTTCTCCTGCTCTTCAGGTGTGGTCCTTTGCCAAGCTGAACACACAGTAACAAGGACCTGCAAGGGTTATTAATGGAAATGCCATTTGTTTCATACCGTCAGCAAGTATTTACAAGGTTTTCAAAGGTTAATACAAAACAGCAGAAGTTGTACTGTCCTAAGTACAACTTAGGACTAAGACACCTTTCAACCCGAATTCCAAATGAAATGTTTGATCTGAAGTGTTTTCATTTTTTTTTCTAGAGTTCTCGAACTACAGGCAGTAGAACCTTTGACATGCAGAACATGTGCCACTCCCTGATTCACATTTCACATCTAAGTGTCCATGACAGATGTTGTCATGTAGTGTTGCCTTGCATCTCTTCACTTGAAGGCACACATTCCTTCAAGAAAGCTATCTGATCAGCTCATAGAATGCAAGCCAAACAAGGCTGACATGACGCTGGCCTAACAAGTACAGGGAAGCAGACAAACATAACAGTTACTCACATGTTACAAGCAGTTTAGTGTATAATAACCATGCCTATCCTGACACATTAGAATGCTCACTGGTTTTCACCATTTCCAAAGTACCCCGAAACAAACTTGACCATACATAGGAGGAACTCAAACCTAAAAGCCTGAGCTTCCCTAACAGGAGTTCAAAATATGAAACATCTTGCCACAAATTAAGCTTCCATGTGGATTTCTGCTTGCTGACTACTTCACAACAGCTACCAGAAAACAGCCATGTGTCATGCAGAAAAAACCAGACATGCCGACCTTTCATCATCTAAAAGAACATACCCATCTGAACTGCTGTTTTGTACCTCACACACTCCACTAGCATTAGCACGTGCTGAGTGAACCACACACAAGAATCATTCTAATTACAAAGGCATTTCCATGGTTTTGCTTGTGCTGCATTTTTTTCCAGGACACAACAGCAAATTCCCAAGTAAATAGCAAATATGTTTTTCCTGGAGAATGCAGCATCTACATGAAGAGCAACTGAGAAAATTCAGACATTTTCTAACACCTTCTATGAAAAAAAGTTAGCAGGAAAAATAATTAAATTATTGTGATTTTACCTGTTACGAGTTACTTTAAGCAAGTTTTTTCCTCTAGATTTGACCTTTCTGCAGCCTCTCTCACAGGTTTTACAAGTAAGCCAATAGTTCAGTTGGACCACACTGTAGCATGCTTAATTAGATGTACCTTGATACCTTCCTCTGAAGTCAAGATATCAAAGTGTCAGAAGATCCTGAATAATGAAGCCTTTCTTTCTTAGCCGTTAGAGCCTGATGTATGCAGAAGCCC